TCTGGATCCCTTACTTCATTCTCCTCTTTTCACTTTATCCCTGGAGAGGTCAGAAAGGTGGGTGGCAAATAGGATAGGAGGAGGAGAGGCATGGGTGAAAAAAGAAAAGAAGGTCTACCATGCCCCTCTTCTCTGACCGCGGGCTTCCTACCCACAACACCCTGTGGTGAGCAGAGTGGAAAAACCTCAGTTTTCAATTTGACTTAAGAGTTTGATCATGACAGCGAAATTAATGTCCCTTTAAACGACGTAGGGACTTAGCGAATGTAAGACTGTGCTTCTCACCTGTAACTGTCATGGTCTCATATCTAGTCTCCTGCCTTTAGACTTCCGTCATTCCCTCTGCTATCCAGCCGACTCACTGACTTTGGGTATATAGCCTCTTGAGTCTCAACCTTGGTTATGCCACCCTTCTCAAAATCCTGTCACCTGTAAACTTCTTAAGGCTCTCAATGGGACAGAAGAAGATGCTCCCTTTATTCAGTCCAAAGGTGTCACAGTAGTAGTCACGGTGGGGTTTTTGATGGTGGTCATGGTGGGATAAGGTATGGCAGGCAGCGTACCTGTCTCAGAGGCTGCTGGGGCCCTTGCCCAGAAAGTACAGATAGAGTTTAGTTTGCTTGTAATGGGGGAAATCATACATTCTCAAGTAAAATCAATCAATTGGAAATGTTGAAATATCATTAGATTGTCTTTGAGTAAAAATAGCCCGTCAACCAATCATCAAATGTATTTGGTGGAAAATATAAGAGATTAGATTGGGTGATTTATTAATTCTAGAAATATTGTTTCAAAGAAGCCCATGCTAGGGAGCTAGAAATACAACATATTAGTGACAGTCTCTGCCTTCATGAAGTTTAGTTTATTATATATAAGCAAGAACTTATAGTGAAGTGTGACGGTTGTTATGGTAGAGGAAATTCAAAGTGCTTCGGATGCTCACAGCAGAGACAGCATTTAAAGCCTTGCAATGTTGGGTTTCTAGCATTCTGGGATCACATCTAGAGCCGTACATAGCCTTGGAAAGAAAATAAATATCAGAAGGCCCCAGACCCCGAAAGAAATAACAGCAACAGCATTATTTGGTATGAACATGATAAGGAAGATAAAGGCAAGTAAAGAGTGGAACTTTCTAATGATAAACAGGGAAGACAGAATTACACTCCTCAATCATGGAAAAAAAAAAAAGAATCAAAGAATTATCATTGGCTTTTTAAATCACTTATTGATCCCCCATGATGGGTATACAACAGTCATATTTTCCAGATAATAGTTAAAAATGGGTGTTAGTTTGATGCAGCCCTTCTGTGGTGGTGGTAGGAAGGCATCTCTGAGATTTCCAATAGCTCGGAGCACGTTGACCAGCAGCCCTCACGCTGAGTTCTCAGATCCTTCCAGAGCTGCTCCTCCCTGAGCTCACCTCCTGGCCATGCTTCTGTAGGCTACTCCCAGGGATCAGAGTGTGGCCGGGATGCTAAGGTGGACTTGGTTCCTAGGAGACCTGGGGCTTTTCGGATGGGCAACTGTAGCTTGACACCTTTCTGACAGCCTGCCAAACTTTTCTTACAACTCCATGGCAGTCTAGAATGCTTCCACTAAATCTTCCTTCCTTCCTTTTCTCCACTTGGGGTTAGACCTACATTCCAGCCTTTCTGGAACCCTCCCATTTTCTTTTTTTCCTTTTTTGTGTTTGTTTGTTTGAGATGGAGTCTCACTCTGTCGCACAACTTGGCTCACTGCAACCTCTGCCTCCTGGGTTCAAGCGGTTCCCCTGCCTCAGCCTCCCAAGTAGCTGGGACTACAGGCACGCACCAGTGCGCCCAGCTAATCTTTTTTATTTTTAGTAGAGACAAGGTTTCAACATGTTGGCCAGGCTGGACTTGAACTCCTGACCTCAAGTGATCCCCCTGCCTTGGTCTCCCAAAGTGCTGAGGTTACAGGGGGATTACAGCCTTGAGCCACCGTGCTTGGCCCACACTCCCCATTTTCTATCACCATTGCTTCCTTAATAAATTTTTGGCACATCTAATTCTGTCTGGCATCTGTACCTCAGAGGACCCACACTAATGCATGTTCTCAAAAGAGTGTTCTAGAGGGGATTCGTAGATGGTTTCTTGAGGCATCTATTTTACCTAGAAGCCATCAGTGCTGCCTGGGTGGGTGCAGCAGTGGAGGGGTGCCAAGCCAGGCCATGGAACATGGTGTTACACATATACCTGGTTCAAAGCTTGGCTCTTCCACCGACAGCTGTGTGATCTGGCAAATTACTTAATCTCTGCTATCCACAGTTTCCACATCTGTAAAATGGGATACTCATTTTTTCCCTCACAGGTTTTCTGTGGGGATTAATTGAGACAATACTTATAAGGGTTTATCATAGCATCTGGCACAGAGTGAGCTGGTTGGGGCTGGCTGCTAAGGGCTTTATTCTCTGCCCTTCACCACCAGCTCCCCGCTTTCCCTGAGAGAAGGGAGGAAACACAGTGCAGTTGGCCATCTTTCACAGAGGTCCCCGGATGCACCACCCTTTAACACTGCCTAACAGGGTCCTACAGAGTTGTGCCTTTTGCTTCTTGCTCTGACCTCCTGTTAATGTCTCTCTCTTGGTTCTCATTGTACAGAGTCCTGTATGGCTTTCAGTGGCTCTCTCCAGACCTTTTTCCAGGAACCTCCCCTCCCCATCCATGGGAGCTGCCACATTGGTGTGCTGTCCTTCTATCCCTCGGACATTATTGCTTATTCAAGAGGGGGCACCTGTCTCAAAATGAGCCATCAATGTCATGGCCTCAGGAGTAGTTGAGGCCATGACACCCCAAGCTCTGAAGCCATGTTTTCCCCTGGGTGAAAGGAGAAAGCTAGGCTACAGGAGATAAGAGAATGTGCCTGTCACACCAGAGAGGGAGAGATGGGAGAGGGAGAGAGATCTGACTGCATTCAAGTCCTTGGCTTTGGTTATTCCTTAGGTTTTGTTAGACATACCAGCATTCTCATAATCAACGTCCTGTTTGCCTAAGCTAGTTGAGTAGGGTATCTGTCACTTGCAGCCCAGAGTTCTGACGAATGAAGGCGGATTTCTGTTCCATGTGTCTATCCTGCCTTCCCACCTTGACTGTAAACCTTGCAGGAGCCTCTACTCCGTCTCTCATTTCACTTCTGCCCACAGTGCCCGGAATAGTGCCTGGCCCCTGCAGCTGCTCCAGACAGATGTGCTGTCAACAATAAGGCTCAATCAAATCTTCTGCTCATGGAAGGTTTCTATATATTCCACACATGATGTCATAAGACCACTTTAAATCCATGCTCAAAGTTCCGGTTTAAATGTGCTAAAAATGTTCTGTGGCAAGGACTGTGGGTCCTTTTGAAAAAGAGCTTCTAGCAGGTATTTTGTAAGAGGCGTGGTGGGGTTTCAGGTTAATGGGTGTCACCAGGAGAATTACTGTCCTTAAAATGAAATGATGTTGCCGCCCGCCCCATCCCACCCTGGGCTTCCCCACATCCCGCCCCTTTGCTCCCCTGCTCCACCAAGCAGTCTATTTAAAAATGCAAACATTGAAGAGGTCACTGAGACTACAACCTGGATCCTCTGTGGCAGTAGATTTATAAGGGGCTTGATTCTTTCTCGAGGTCTTTCACATATATTTTTCCATCCACTCATTATTAAGGTGTACAATCCATGAGGGCAGATATTTGTTTGGTATTTCCTACATAAGCTTGCCTAGGCTGGGCTTTTCAATAAACATTTTGGACCCAGGTTCTGCCAGTATTTATTATTTGCCTTCCGTGAGCCTGGCCCTGAGGTCTTTCTCATGCTTTATGTCAGAAATGCCATGACCCAGGATTTGTGATTCCACTGAACAGATGAACAAGCACACACAGACAGGTCAAGGAACTACGGCAGGCCGTAGAGCCAGTGCATGCTAGGCTTTGACTCCACATCTAGTTCTATTTCCACGTACATAAGTAATAAATGATGGAGGAGCCTCATGAGTGAGGTGCTCTTTCAAAAGAGAGGTAAGTGGAATGTATTTCTCTCAAATTGTGGAAAAAATCAGTCCCAACGGGTTTCCTCTTCCTGATTCTAGGGCTGGGACTTGGGTCAGAGGAGTGGGCAAAACTTAAGGGGGTGCCAAAAAACTCAGTAATCAAGAGACATGATATTTTAATGTAGTATTTAAAAAAGTTAATGAAAAAATCATTGGTGACTCAAATACCAACATTTTAATTAAAGACAGGCTCTGTTGACAGGGCCAGGAATAAGTGAGGGAAATTAGATGAACCATTCAGGTGTAGAGTAGACTGTGAAAGGTACTGAGGACATGGCCATGAGTTCATCAAAAGCCATTTTGTCTCTTGGCTTGAGGATGAACTACATGTCTCCTCCTCCTTTGCAGTTAAGTGTGGTTAAGTTCTAGCTGATGGATTGTCAGTGGAGTTAATGTAAGCTACTCTGGACCTGGCCATTAAAAAACATCTAACATTCACTTTGTCATTCTCTTTCCCGCTCCCAGCTTGATACAGATGAGCACAATGACCGTATATGCTCAGGGGTGAAAATGACAGAGCCACAAGATAAAAAGAACCTGGGAAACAGAATCGCTAATGGAAGAGCAGCCCACTGGTCAGATTAAAGTCCCCCTTTTAGGACTTTAAAAAGTCTTATGTTGTGTTAACCCACTGAGATTTGGGGGATTTTATACTGCAGCAGCCAGTATTACTTTAACTAATATAGAACTTGTTACCAGAAGTGGGGTGCCGCTGTTACACAAACCTAAAATACATGACATTGACTTGATGGTCAGGTGGCAGGCAGGAAGGAAACTGGGTTTGGAGCTGGAATTATGGAAAGCCATGACATACAGGGGCAAACCATTTGGTGAAACTGTCACCTACGGTAACTTGAAGGCAGACCAGGTGCCTCCTGAGCCTGTGGCATTAGGGCAACACCATTGGAAAGAGTCAAAGCAATAGTATGAGTTGGATTTTCCTTTCTGCTTTTGCAGTGTGTTACCGGAAGGAGATGAACTCAAGAGTGACTTGGCCGGTTAGTCTTAAAACACCTCTGGAGTCCCTGAACGTGCACAGAAGAAAGCAGCTGCAAAACTTATAGAACCTTAAAGAAGGGAATATTCTACAAAACCCACTTCAGATGGGGCCACAGGAGACAATCAGCAAGGAGAAACTTCTGAAAGCCAAGTCAGGAACCACAAAAAGTAATGAGAGTGGCAGATTCTCCCAGAGAGCAGAGTCAGCGTGTAATTAGGAGTATTTCTCCACTGTAAGCGTGAGTATCTCTCCTTATTCCTCTAAATTATGGTAGTAGGTTGTTTATCTAGGCCATTTTCTTTGCACCCCTTGCTGGGTTGTGTGCTCCTTGAAGGCTGGCGTGGTACTTAATGTGTTGGTCAGGGTGTGATGAGATTTGCATTTTACCTTGCACTAGCAATGATATAACCTTTTCTGCAACACAGTATACATCAGGAGTTTTTAAAATGCTTATACCCTTTAGGCCAGTAATTCCATGTCTAGAAATCTAGTCTGAGGAAATAATCTGGTACGTAAATAGAGATTTAAACATAAAGGTATCCAACAAAATATTATTTAAATGATAAAAATTGGATATTACCTAAATATCCAACGGTGAATTAAATAAATGATTTAGGAAATTTGTAGTTTTTATAGGATGCAATAATATTTATCCATTAACTTTTTTGTTTGCATAGAAAAAGTTTTTAATGACTCAGGGAAATGCTTATGATGCAAAATTGTGCATATACTAAGACTTCAACTACGTACAAGACATATGTACAAAAAAAAAAGCTGGAAGGAAATGTGTTAAAATGCTACCAGTGATTGTATGGAGAATCACAGGGTTTACTACAGATAATATCTTTGAGGTTTTCTGTAACACAACGTACAGATTTTCCACAAAGGTCATGGATTACTTTTCTAACTAAATGACAACATCCTACCTTAAAAGAGAGGAACTTGATGATGTGTCAGTCTTCTTACACCTGCTGTTCTTCCTGTTCCAACATCGGGCTTGATGTGCTGGAGGCAGCATTGGCCTGATGGAGACCTGAGTTCTAGATTAATTTGCTATGTGACCTTTGGCCTCCCTTGAGCCTGTTGTCCTATTTTTACAAAGAAGGGACTGCATGGGATAATATTGAACCGGCCTTTCCAGTTCAAAAAGTCTTCGTACAAATGTGCTGAATCACTCTCCAGTTTTATCATTCTTTTTCATTCCTGGAGGTAAAACCAACCTCAAAATCTTGGAGCCTGATAGACTTTGAAATTGGACCTCATTTTAATTCTCAAGTTTTTAGCATGAGAGCAACATTCAATATGGTTCTGAAATATCTCATGCAAAAAAGTGCCAGAGTCATAGACTGAAATATTTATTTGAATATAAATGAACTCAGATTTGCCAAAATACGTTCCCCCTGTTGTCATGGACACAAATGCCTGACTTTCTGATTTGCATTTCTTTTCTAATGGGTACAATATGTTTCAGCTCCTCATTGGTGCTGGGACTGGATTTGAGAAACTCACCCTTCTGTGAGCTCCCCAAAATGTCAGCCAGTGGGGAACTTTTCTGCCTTTGATTCCACCTTACCTAGCCAGCTGGAAAAATTTGCACCTCTGCGGGGGTCAGAGTAGGGGCTCAGAGAGCTCCAGACTCCTCCCTGACAGCTTCCCTTGGAGGTACAAGTAGTGAATTTTGGAGTGCCAGGGGACCTTCCACCTACTGCCTCTCTGGTCCTCTTTTCCAGCCCAGACCCTCTCCTACCTCTTGGGAAATTCACCTTTGCTCTCTGGTTCTATAATAGGAAAGGTTGCAGGCTTTCTTCTTGTGTAGACATTTCTGATTCCTGCCAGCATCTGCTCCTTCTCCTGCATGCTCCCTCTTGATCCGAAGTTGCCATCTGTCCCTTTCTCTAAGCTCAAATCCTCAGAATCACGCTCCGCTTACGTTTCCCTTTTCCTCTTCACCTCAAAAAAGACAATCCCCAAAGCCTGCCGATTTTGCCTCCTGATGACCCCTCTGCCTTCATGGTGCCTTCTTCCAATAAGTTTTCCATGTAATAGGGATAAAACTCTAATGGGTTCCTATTACGTTGCTTAAAACTGTTTAATGGTTTGACCCTGATAGTAAGATAAAGTCTAAAATATTTATGATGACTTGTGAGGACTTGCCCATCTCCCACCCCCTGTTCCAGGCTCGCTGCATTCCAAGTGCATGGGCCAGCTTTGTGTTTTTCCGCTGTGCACACTCCTCCCCACCTCCAGGCCTGTGCACATGCTGTCCCTTCCACCCGAAACACCCTCCTCCTGCCCCCTGAGCAGACAGTTCTGTTCAGGCTTCAGGACTCACCGTCGATGTCACAAGTTCAGGACAACCTTCTCTGCCATCCCCAGGAGATCATCTATTGCCCTGATACATGTACTCACCCACCACCCCTGGCTGGGCTTTTCCTCCATAGCCTTGTCATAACGGGAATTAAATACTTATTTAATGTTCATCTTTTCTGCCCATCTGTGAGCTCAAAGATGGCCAGGATCATGTCTATTCAGTTTGCCAATATCTCTCCAGCCCCTTACCGGTGTCAGAGATGTGGTAGGTGTCAAATAATTATTTGAATGACAATGAGTTCTTCAGATCAGTGGTCAGAATAAATTTCTAAATAAAAAATGTGGCTGTTTAAGCCTGCAAGCCACAACTCTCCTCTCTCTTGAAGCAAACCAAGTAACTCAAAACTTATCCTTGAGTTCATTGCTGATCAAAAGCAAAAAAAAGGCTGAGTTCCCTCATGTCACACACGTGGCCCGCTGCAGTCTGATGTCCAGCCTGTCTTCCCAGCCTCACTCTTCACACTCCTGCCTGGACTCTCTGTGCCCCAGGCTCACGCAGCCCCTGAGAACCCCCAACCCCGTGTGGCTGCTGTGCTCAGGGCCTTGAATCGAACTCCTGGGTTCTTTTTCCCTCCTCTCTGTGTGGCGAACTTTAACATGCTCTTCAAAACCTGGCTCAGACGAAGGAACCAAGGCCTTCATCCTCCTCTGAGAAGCCTCCACCATCACCCAACCAGCTCATCCAACCCTGCTGGGCTGTGTTATTCATGTGGAAGTCTGTGGTCTCTTTCACCCTCTTGCGAATCTTTTTAGGACAGGAGCCCCAGCTTCTTCTCCTCGTACCACCTGTGCCCAGCACAGGGGTGAGCCCACAATGTAGTGAGAAAATACTTCCATGCCCTGCCCACAGTTCCTCTCTACTCAGAGATGAGAAAGAACTCTATCTCCCTTCATGCCTGGGGGTTGCTCCCTCTCTAATCCCTCCCTAGTCATGCCCCTCCCGCGGGAGGAGATGTTGATAGTCGGAGTGAACAGAGTAAGGATATTCTCTGGAACAGATCGTACTAGTGGGTGGGTGTCTGTATCTTAAAGGCAGGAACAGAGGCTCTGTGCCTCCTCCACCTGTTAGTCCAGCCAGGCACCCCATCCTGGATGCAGCTTCTGGGCCTGAGCCCGAGAGGGTAAATCATGCGGGGGCTGCTCTGAGGGTCTCACCATCTTAGGTTCAGGAGCACTGGGGAAGAAGCCTCGCACAGACCTCCTGGCAAAGCTTTACTGCTTATCTCAGATTTATCCAGACAGCCCTGCCTGTGGTGGGGGGTGCTGGTGTGGGGTGAGGAAGGATGCTGGACGCATGACTAGTTGCTGGTAATAAAGCGCTGCTTCATTTTCCAATGAAGCCTAGTACACCTAGTGTGTGTTTCACATAGAACACCTAGTGTGTGTTTCACATAGGACACCTAGTGTGTGTGTTTCACGTAGAAGACCTAGTGTATGTGTTTCACATAGGACACCTGGTGTGTGTGTTTCACGTAGAAGACCTAGTGTATGTGTTTCACGTAGGACACCTAGTGTGTGTGTTTCACATAGGACACCTAGTGTGTGTTTCACATAGGACACCTAGTGTGTGTGTTTCACATAGGACACCTAGTGTATGTGTTTCACATAGGACACCTAGTGTGTGTTTCACATAGGACACCTAGTGTGTGTGTTTCACATAGGACACCTAGTGTGTGTGTTTCACATAGAACGCCTAGTGTGTGTGTTTCACATAGGACACCTGGTGTGTGTGTTTCACATAGAACGCCTGGTGTGTGTGTTTCACATAGGACGCCTGGTGTGTGTGTTTCACATAGGACACCTAGTGTGTGTTTCACATAGAAGACCTAGTGTGTGTGTTTCACATAGGACACCTAGTGTGTGTTTCACATAGGACACCTAGTGTATGTGTTTTACATAGGACACCTAGTGTGTGTTTCACATAGGACACCTAGTGTGTGTGTTTCACATAGGACACCTAGTGTGTGTTTCACATAGGATACCTAGTGTGTGTGTTTCACATAGGACACCTAGTGTGTGTGTTTCACATAGAAGACCTAGTGTGTGTGTTTCACATAGGACACCTAGTGTGTGTGTTTCACATAGGACACCTAGTGTGTGTTTCACATAGGACACCTAGTGTATGTGTTTCACATAGGACACCTAGTGTGTGTTTCACATAGGATACCTAGTGTGTGTGTTTCACATAGAACACCTAGTGTGTGTGTTTCACATAGGACACCTAGTGTGTGTGTTTCACATAGAAGACCTAGTGTGTGTGTTTCACATAGGACACCTAGTGTGTGTTTCACATAGAACGCCTAGTATGTGTGTTTCACATAGGACACCTTGTGTGTGTGTTTCACATAAACAACCTAGTGTGTGTGCTTCACTAGCCAGGTCCTCTGACCCATAGCAACTCTCTCATATGACAATTGAGAATATGCATTCTTGAGTCAGAGTGCCTGGGCTCAAATCCCAGCCTAGCTACTTGCCCATTTTGTAACTTCAGACAAAGAACTAGGCCTCCATTTCCCCATCTGAAAAATCAGGAAACCAAAAGTCCCTACCTCACAGGGAGAAATAAGAACCTCTGAGCACAGTGCCTGGCACACGGGAATGTAACACTTAGGGATCCTGGTTAGGGCACCGGAGTGTAAGCTGCCTGAGGGCAGGAATGTGTCTTTTTTGTTCAGGGCTGTATTTCTCATGTCTGGAACTGAGCCTGATACATAGTGGGTGCTTAATGAATGCTTATTGTATGAATTATTATTGTTGCTATTGTTAATAGTGTGTAGGAGGTGCTCCATGAAGCTTTTTTGTTTTTGAAACTGAGTCCTGCCCTGTCGCCCAGGATAGAGTACAGTGGCACGATCTCAGCTCACTGCA